GAGGGGGAATGGCTTCAAACTGGAAGAGGGCAGGTTTAGATTAAACATGAGGCAGAAGTTTTTCCCTGTGAGGGTGGTGAGGCACTGGCACAGGTTGCCCAGAGAGGTTGGTGAGGCCCCATCCCTGGAGGTGTTGAAGGCCAGGCTGGAGGTGGCCTTGGGCAACCTGGGCTGGTGGGAGGTGGCCCTGTCTATGGCAGGGGGGGGGAACTGGATGATCTTCAAGGTCCCTTCCAACCCAAACCATTCTATTATTCTATGTTCACCTGGCTCACTGGGGCTGCTGCGCCCGCTCCACCTCCTCCTGCAAATCACTTTCTCAAGCTGTTGACAACCATTTTCTGACGGCGTTTCTCCACCTGAACTTTTCTTTAGTTGATGCTCACGTGTTGCACGGGTCTGGAGGAGGGTTGAGGCTTTCAGAGCGTGTTGCTGGACAGGTTATAGCAGGCACGTGGTGAGGATGAACTGTGTTGGGAGTTTGGAGATGGCAACATCACTTGGATGGTAGAAAACGGAGGATTTCACTTATGGTGTGCCAGCGCTTTGGGTGTTGCCTCTCTGAGGACCTCAGGCCCTTCTGGTGACATGGCAAAAGGCACTGGCTGAGGCTGCTCCTCTGTCTGATTGTCTCATTCATGTTTGTCTTCCCTGAGCTGGAAGCACGGGGTCAAAACCAACCACCGTGAACCCTTTGCTGTGGTTGGGACAGCACCAGTCCTTCCCACTCTGTGGGGGTGTCTGTCCAGGAGAAACCTGTGGCAGCCCATGGTGTCTGCACTCAGTCGGCCCCAAGAAGCTGTGGCTGCCCCATCCCTGGAGGTGTTCAAGGCCAGGTTGGACGGGGCTTGGAGCAACCTGGGCTGGGGGGAGGTGGCCCTGCCCAGGGCAGGGGGTTGGAACTCAATCTTCAAGGTCACTTCCAACCCAAACCATTCTATGATTCTCATGATGAGGGGACTGGAGCATCTCTCTGCTGAGGAAAGGCTGAGGGACTTGGGGCTGTTCAGTCTGGAGAAGAGAAGACTGAGGGGGATCTCCCCATCGCTGATCAGGCCTTCAAGGGAGGTGCCGGGGGATGGGGACAGTCTGTTTCCAGTGGTGCCCAGTGAGAGGACAAGAGGGACCGGGCACAAAGGTGACCATGGGCAGTTCCATCTCCACCTGAGGAGGGCCTTCTCTGCTGTGAGGGCGGCAGAGCAGTGGCAGAGGCTGCCCAGAGAGGTGGGGGAGTCTCCCCCTCTGGAGCCATCCCAAACCCGCCTGGACGCCGTCCTGTGCCACTGCTGGAGGTGCCCCTGCTCTGGCGGGGGGTGGGATGGGGGAGCTCCAGAGGGCCCTTCCAGCCCCCACCAGTCTGGGATGCTGTCATCATCGCGTGTAGAACAGACTGACAAAAATAATTGCACAAGCGAGCGGGTAGAGGCTGAGGACCTGCAGGATTGCCCGGGGTATCCCGGGGGGGTTATTTCTTGGCTGATTGTCCACAGAATTTGGTCTCGTCCCCCCCCAGCTCACTGCGCACTTAATAGGAATGTGTTTAATCTCTGCAGATATTTTCCCTCTGCCGAAGGTGACAGGGTGAGGTATCTCGGTGAAGCTGTGCTGTTGTTGCTGCCGTGATGATTTTGGTTGCTTAGTGAAAATATTAAGCTGCTTGCTTGTCTTCTACCTCTCCTGCAGTGTATAACTGGACGGTTGACGAGGTGGTTCAGTGGCTCATTACCTACGTAGAGCTGCCGCAGTACGAAGAGACCTTCAGAAAGCTGCAGCTGAGTGGCCATGCCATGCCCAGGTCAGTGCCCACCGCATTGTCTTGCGTTCCTCTGGGACACGTGGCAGGGAGAAAAAGCAGATCTGAGGTGGCTCATAACATCCTGTGCGATTCCTCGGCGTGCGCAGCGCTGGGGCTAATTCCTCTTCCACCTGCGTTGCGTTGGGAGACTCCGGCTGTGCCGTGGTCCTCTCTGCAGGGAGGGAGCGAGCCCTGGGCAAGCGTGGGTCTGATGCGGGCGGGAGGAGAGGCTGCCGTCCACATTGTGGGGTCGTAAACGCTGTCCTCGCTGGTTTGTGTGCTGGACTTCGCCTGCCTCCACCTGAAGCTACGTATTCAGAGCTGAAACGCTGACCTGGCACTGGGCAGACTGGGCTGCGTGCTGGATCTGCCACAGCCCGCCGTCGTAACCCAGCCCGGTCACGGAGCTTCTCCATCATCTCCCACCGTCCTCAGCCAAGGAGCATCCCCGCTTCCCGGGGGGCTTCCGAGCTCCCAGTTCAAGGGTTACTGGTTCTGTATCTCTGCACTCCCCAGCACTGGTATGTGCTGGTGTTAATTCATGGCCCTTAATGCTCTGGCAAAGGAACCTTGTGTTCTTCAAGAGAAGTACATGCCTGAGTTGGCCTAAACTCGTCACAGGTTTGAAAAACCTCAGGGCAGCTTTTTGGGTAAAAAAGCTGAACAAGGAGCTGTAAACTGAGTGGGAAGGAGGGATTAACTGGGAATAAAATAAGGTTTTCAAGGCAGCGCTCGGTGCACCCACATTTCTTCCAAGTGAGAAGTATGGTCTTGCGGTCTATGAAATGAGATGTCACGGGCTAACAATACAGGGCTGGTTAAAAAAAAAAAACCAAAAACTAGTGATTGGTAGGACACCAAAAGATCAGTTTGGTTAGGAAAACAGTAATTTAGGTTGTCGGGATTAATGACATAGGAGGGGCCTTGGTTTGTCCTTCTCTCCGAGTAAAGCCGAAGGCACTGCTGCTCAGCTCTTCCATAGAGATATCCCCTATCAGAGGTGGCCGTATTTGAGGGATTTCTTTTGTCCCGGTTGCCTAAGCAGGCAGCTTTTGGGTCCTGCTCATTGCAGTTCTCCTCCTGTAGCCTCCATGTTAGTAACTTTCGGTCAGTTATTAATCCAGATGGATATGAGTATACCTACTTCTTTTCTTTATTTTAATTTATTATATTTTTTTTTCCAGGCTAGCAGTGAACAACGTTACCATGATGGGAAGTGTCCTGAAAATGACAGATCGAAGCCACAGGCAGAAGCTGCAGCTGAAAGCTCTGGACACGGTGCTCTTTGGGCCTCCGCTCTGTAAGTAACAGCAACGCAAAGCCCTTTCTTTGGCTGTTAATCGAGAGGATCTGTGTCTGCCGAGCGTTGAACAGCAAAGGCAGATCTGCCTGAACCAGACTTTGCCCTGCGCGGCGTCACCTCCGTAAATTGTCCCTGCTGCAGTTCCCCTGAGATAGGCTTTGCGGCAGCAGCCCCGGAGCCCGGAGGCGAGCTGCCCGCTGCCTTGTGCTGCCGCCTCCCAGGGGCCGCTCGCGGGGCTGGCGACCCGCTGTCCTGCTGGCACCTCCCGCGTCCCTCGGGTAGAACCCTCCCGTCCTTCCCGCCGGTGTGGGGTTCGCCGCTGCCCCGGCGGGGAGGCGGCGCCGCACATTTGGGATGGATGAGAACCAGGGACTGGGTTCCTTTGATGCTGATTATAGGCATCAAAGGTTGGCGCGGATCTGGAAGCCCTTTGATGCTTATCTCCGGGGTGCTCCTTTTGCATTCGTTCCAGTCTGGCTCACGTCTACTGCCTCTTCATTAAAGGTACTTTTGTCTTTCTCCCTCTTACTCACGTCTTTCTCATGAGCTTCAGGTGGTTTTGTGAAGCCAACAGCAACCTTGCACGGTCAGGGCCTGTTTCTGCTCGGCACTGCGCAGGCGAGAAGGATTTTTCAGGCAGAGTGTGTTCGAGCCCTCCTAGGCAGCGCTCCTCTTCCCCTTTTAGTTGTCGTGTGTCCCCTCTGCGGGAGGCTTCAAACGAAGGCGAAGGGGTACCTGCTTGTCGGGGTGCGAATGCAAGAGCCTGGCCGCAGATTCTGGCTGAGGAGCAGCTGGGGTTGCGGGCAGCCGGAGGTGTGCACCGCCGAAAATACCACTTTGTGCTTCCCCTGTTCTTTACGTGGCTTTTTTTTAAAGCATCTGCTACTGTCCATGGCTGGAACAGCAGGTAGGATGCACCTTGATTCTGCGGGACATGGATGTGCGAACGGTCTAATGGAGAAGTTCAGGTTTTTTGGCCTTTTTTCCAGTCTTCCCCCTCCGGGCTGCCCAGCGCTCGGCCAGTGGGAAGTGATGAGGCACTTCCATTATTTCTTCAATTCTTATTTTAAAAAGTCCAGCTGTTAGCGCAGTCTTTTCTTGTTCCCAATCTGTGTCCACATTCCTGAGAAAAGGTGCGGTGAGGCAGATCCTGGGAAAACCGGCTGCGCGGAGGGACGCGAGCGAGATTTATGAGGCTTGGCAGAGACGTAACTGCGTGAGTTAGAAGTACAGTCAGCCAGTTTTGCTTCCAGTTATTATGTCAAGCATGTATTCACTCAGGCACAGTTTGCTTTGATATTTGTACTTGCCCTGTGTCACAAGCGAAGTTTTCTGGTGGGTCGGTGGCATTGCCGGGGGCGGTGGGGACGCGGTGGGCGAGTGCCATCACTCGCGTCCTGGTGGGTACCACTGCTCGCCCGGCAGAGGCTGAAGCCCCGGAGCCGCCCGGCAGAGGAGGGGGAATTTTTCAGGCAGTTCTCAGATGCGCTGTAAATGGCAAAGTAAATTACTCGTAATGGGTGGAGATTAATGGCCGTGCTCCGTGCTGGAGGCATTGCCTTTCGGCGCAGCTCTCCTGGCACGGGAACACGGTCCTGCTCCGGTCAGGCAGATGAAAGCGTGCAGCGAACCGTTCCGATCGGGTTCTTTCAGATCGGTTTGTTAGTTACAGATTTTGTGGTCTGCCCGCGTATCGGGTACGTGAACGGAGGAAATGCCCTGTGCATTTTTTAGCAGCAGTAGAGACCCAACACTTCTTGGAAGGTGCTGTTTGCAGTTTTCTGGTTAACTGAATGGATTTGTCTCCAGTTCGTACTGCGGCGTGCAGTGAGAAGTTGTTTGTCTCAAACGGATTCCTTAAGGAACGGATTGCGAAACAGCCGTTTTCAGCAGCCATTGGCAATCGGCAGTTTCGGGAAGTACGCGGTGACCTTTTAAGCTGCAGAAGCAGCGCTCGTGCAGGGATGGATTGAGTGGTTTCAGCTACGTTCCTGTTGTGGTTCTTTTCCGATGGTCAGCGGAAGTGGTCTCCTGTCATCTGCTGTTGAGAGAGGGAACCCGCCGGCAGTGGGGGCTGGCTCACAGGTGCAGGGTTTCAAGGGTTTGTCTTCTCTCTTGGCGCTACTTTCTATTCGCCACAAGTATAAAACCATTGAAATAAGCTCAGCCTAGGCTGGAGCCCCATGGCTGCTTCCTGCAGACCCGTAAAACCAGAGCCATCTCGGTGGTGGTGGGGAGCAAAGCACCCCTTCCAAGGTACGGTTCCGCATGAAGCTGGATGAAGCTTTTCCCCATCCCGGGGCTAAAGATCTCGTTCTCTGACGGCTCCCGTTGTTTTCTGCGGAGGTTTCAGGTGGTTGAGTGGGCACCTGGCCTGTTCCCGTGCTGATCCGCGGGCTCCTGTTGCCCCACGAGGTTGGATGTCCCATGCCAGGCTCCCGACGTGCCATCTCCTTCCGCAGACAGGTCTGCCCGCTTGCAGGGTTGCAGCTCTGTAATTAACGCAAGCGAGAAGGAGTATGGTGAAATTATAATGTAAGGAAGATGAAGCGATTGCTGCTTCTGCCCCATTGGTGTCCTGTTCCTGTGGGTCAGGGGTTTATCCAGCACAAAGTACCACAGCTTCAGGTGAAACAGGAGAGGGGAATTTAAGGTAACAAGTGGTAAAATTCAAAACAATAGATATTTTTGGTGAAAAGTGAATTTAAATTTTTATTCCTTCTATCTCTCTCAAGTGATGGAGACTGAGACATAACGTCTCCTCACGGGAGGTTCAGGGCACCGCTTGTGGTACCGTTTGGGGTTAACAGACAGAGAAGATGCTGTGCACTGAATTACCCGTCCTGGTGCCTTCTCCCGGCCCCCTCCCCAAAGGCCATCCAAGTGGGACCCGTACGTCACCTGTGGGATTTCAGGAGAGGTTTCCGTAGCTCCGCTTCCCAGGACGGAGGTCCACCAGACGTAATGTGTTTCACGGCAAGGCACAACCCATGGCCAAGCCGCTGCCCCAGCAGTGCGTGCCCCGGGCTCTGCCGGGGGTCCTGCGCGGCCCCGGGGAGCGCTGCACCCCTCGGCCTCCCCCCGGGACCTGCCGGGCACCCTGACACCCGTTGCCCTGGGTCTGGGGCACCCCAGTGCCCCCCATGCCCGCCCCGGCTGTCCGCGGGGGTTGCACAGCGCCGTGGGACGGGGTCTCCGCTGTTCCCCAGCCCCTCTCGTTTGTGGTCGTCGTTAGCTGTCGTCCTGAGCGTTACCCCTTGTCATCTCCTGTGAGGAGAGGCTGAGGGAGTTGGGGCTGTTCAGCCTGGAGAAGAGAAGGCTCCGGGGAGACCTTATTGCCGCCTTCCAGTGCCTAAAGGGGCTCCAGGAGAGCTGGGGGGGGACTTTTTACTGGGGCATGGAGTGACAGGACGAGGGGGAATGGCTTCAAACTGGAAGAGGGCAGGTTTAGATTAAACACGAGGAAGAAGTTTTTCCCTGTGAGGGTGGTGAGGCACTGGCACAGGTTGCCCAGAGAGGTTGTTGAGGCCCCATCCCTGGAGGTGTTCAAGGCCAGGCTGGAGGTGGCCTTGGGCAACCTGGGCTGGGGGGAGGTGTCCCTGCCCATGGCAGGGGGTTGGAACTCGATGATCTTCAAGGTCCTTTCCAACCTAAACTATTCTGTGATTCTATCATGTATTGAATGTCCGTGTGTGGGTTAACAGAAGCACAGGGAGCGGGTGCCTGGAAAAGGAGGTGTTTCCCAGGCAGGAGATGGCACTTGTTGCAGGTTTCTGAACGAACTGTCCTTTTTTTGCTTTTCATTAAGCGTTGATTCCTCGGTGCCCACTCCCCAGGGTGGGTGAAGCCACGTTTCCTTCCGTAGAGCTTCCAATATAGCCCGTTTATTTCCCTTTACTATAATTAAAAGAGTATTTGACAAGTACTTTGAGATCCGCTGAATCATTATTTGTTTAAAGCAGTAGAATTTCTTAACCAAATACCAGGTTAATTTATCGCTGTGAGATTTACCATCCACTTTAAATATTTACAGTTGACTGGATTGTGTTTAGATAACCTGCACCGAGACAGAAACGCAGCTCTGTCCCATTAATAGACCTCAGAGGGTCCGTTAGCGTTACGGTGTGGCTTTCTCGGTGCGTGTGCCGGCAGCGCCTGCTGCGTTGGTGGGGGGTTTGCTTTGGTTTGGGGGTTCCTTGAGGAGCAGGAGCTCTGAGCCTGGAGAGCCAAGGAGGGGGGTGACAGAGGAACCTGGCTGGTGCGACGGCGTCCCGCTGCCGGTGCAATCAGCACACGTATAGGAGTCACTTTATGTAATTGTTTTGTGGGTCTGCTAGCAATGAAACAGCGTGAAGTGGTGCCTCTGCCACCGCCGTGCCCGGCGTTTCTCTCCTGCCCCGGCTCGTGGCTGAAACCGACGGCTGCTGCGCGAGGGAGGCGGTGTCACTGAGCCACTGATTCACCTGGGGAAACTAAAAACATCAGTAAATATTATTTTGCCCCGAGAAGCTGTGGCTGCCCCATCCCTGGAGGTGTTCAAGGCCAGGTTGGACGGGGCTTGGGGCAACCTGGGCTGGGGGGAGGTGGCCCTGCCTGGGACAGGGGGGGGCACTGGGTGGGCTTTAGTTGTCCCTTCCAACCCAAACCATTCTGTGATTCCATGATTCTATGTGTGTTTTTTTCTGATGTTTCAACTTGAATGTAAATGACCGGTATAGAATTTACCGAGTATGTAGATTGTCTCCAGTTTAGCAGTGCTTAGGTAAGTTGCTGTAAAACTGTTGACTTTCTCATAATCCATCCCGGCTCTATTACCAAAGTAAAACTTTGTGAAACTTTTTGTTTAAAAATTGAGGCTTTGAATTTGAGTCTTTCATGATGGGGCTCTTTTGCTTAAGAAACCTGAGGTTACTGTTAAGTTTCCCTATTGTACAGCTTTTTACGGCGCTGCTTTAAAACATAAAACAAGGCAGCGCTGCAAACCTGACGTGACATTA